ATTCCCAGCACTCACATGGCAGCTAACAACCGTCTGTAACTCTAGTTCCAGGGGAACCCAGTGCTCTCTTCCGACCTCCATGGGTATTGCACAACACAGGTGCACTTACATATATGCAGGGCCTATACTCATACACATAAAATGAAAAACATAAATCAAATATTTTTCAAAAGAAAGTCATCAATCTTTATCTCTTAGGTTTCTACTGATTTATTTTCTTCTAAAGCTCTGCCTATATTATTTCCCATTTGCACACAGACTTGAAAGATGATTTCCTGCCTCATTTTTTCTATTTTGAATGATGCCATTGATCTTTTGTCTTGGCTTGTATTTTCGTGCTGAGATTGATGTCTCACCCATGTTAAGCACACCTATTGGCACTTATCTACGTCCCGTTTTCCTTGATGTTCCTTTTTGTGTTCCTTGTTTTTCTTATAGATTTTGATCAACAGTTACTAAAGTGGATATTTGCATCTTTTGAAAACACTATATAGTGTTTCCTTCTATTCCTTGGTCTCTGATCTCTTCAATATGATTAGTATTTAATGAGTTACTATCAACACATTATAATTGATATTATATATGTGTATTTTATGCATGCTACAACCTTAATTATCTATTTTATATTTATTATTATTGTTGTGCATATGTACGTGTATATGGATGCCAGGGAATAACACTGTTGAATTGGTTCTCCTACTGCTGTGTAACTTCTGGCAACCATCCTGGCTGTCAGACTTACATGGAAACTGCTTTCTCAGCTGAGCTCTCTTTCTGGCCCAAATGCTAGATTCTTTCAAATGCTTTCCAATCAACTGTGTTTGAAACAAACACAGTTTGTTTGTTTGTTTGTTTTATCAGTTTTCACATAATTCATGCTTAAGCAACAATTATTTGCTCCTTGAATGCTACGCTGTAACTAACTCAGACTTTACATTCTGGTAGAATTAATAAAAGGCTACAAACATTAACTGAATGTCAAAATGGAGCACATATTACCCCTGAAGTTTCACATGCAAGTCAACATGAAATGGATGTTCCAACTGACAGGCCAAGACATGAGGTACTTACTTTTCAATAAGTTTGGGGGACAATATCACTAATTTTGTGAAATACAAACTTCTCAATGGTTAACACTGAAGCAAAACATTTGGAAAATATTACAAATGTTATACCAGTGAAAAAGTTATTTGTATCAAAAAAACATAGCTAAGTATCTTCTTTCTTTCTTTCTTTCTTTTTTTTTTTTTTGGTCTTTTTGAGACAGGG